TAACCTAATATCCAACTAATGCAGAGCATCAATCATGGCAAGTATATTAATTATTTAATATCGCAGTCTAATTCAGAAATCGATGTGCTGCGTGAGGGGAAGGGAGACTCATGGTTCCCAGAAGATTTAAGACAGGGAATGATTAAAAAAAGACCTGCTGTACTCCTGTGTGTTGGCTCGATACAAATCTTTATTCATTTGCCAATAATCTCTTCCCATTCTCCACTTCAGGACCGTTTTATCAGTTTTGAGACCTATAATTGAATTAAGTCTGCTTTCAGCACAGGGCAGAAGGAGTTGCACAAATATTGATGAAGTCATGACAGGGACAACCCAAGAGACAGACCACTAAAGAGGACAGGTTTTATCCCATTTGTCGTAAGATTCCTCTATCAAGGTCTTAGCTCTTCTTTCGATGTAAAAAAAATTAAGACTTTCGGAATCGGTTTTACAACTTCTATATTTAAATGTCACCCGTGATAACATTTCCGTAGCACTTTACAATTTAGAATAGTCCGTTCTGTAGGCTGTGTAGCCTGCTCTTCCCACAGTAATCTCATGTGTTAGGTGAGGCGAGTGTTGCATCATTCTCACATCCAGAGGTGTACAATCTGAGTTTCAGAAAAGTTGGATGATTGTTCAAGCTCACTGACTATTTTGCAGTGCTGCTTAAATTCAAATTTAGTTTATTTGCTTTTAGAACCAGTATTATATACTACATAATGCTATCTTGTGTTGCATTTATGTACTCTTGATACTTTATCTATATTGTTTTAAAGAGTCCAATGTCTTCGGTTTTGCCCAAAGTAAAAGTAAATAAAACAGATGTTTGAGGAGAACTTGGCCAAACTTTGGTGTCCCAAGGTTGTAGTGCTAAGGTTCATGTATATGCAAACCTTCTGGGTGTAAATGAAAACTACTTAATCTAGCATCTTTTACTAAAATAGAATACCATTTTTCTTATATGTAAATTATATGCATGTATATATATAGATATAGATATATATGGAGAGAGAGAGAGAGGATTGAGGACATAAATGTGTTCTTTCATTAAAGTTGCCACTCCAGCCTTTTGTTGATTTACATTTGCCTCATCATATTTTTTTGTTTATTTTTTTTCTGTCCCCTTTTTGTAAACCTTTTTGAATCATTTAGTTTATGTGTCTCTTGTAAAGAACACATTACTGGACACCCCCCCGCCCCCGTGTGAGAATTCTCTTAAGCGTTTTAATCTTAGATATTCACAGGTGAAATTTCCTTAGTTCTCTTTTTAGTATTGATTATTTAGATTAGAGTAATTACTAAATTCTAGGCAAGCCCTTACTCTTCTTGAATTTCTCTTCTTACTGTGTTACATTATGCAAGACATTTTTAAAATAATGTCTTTGTGTGGTGAATTTTCTGCGTCCTTCTATGCTGAGAATTTATTTTTCTTCTAAATGAGTGTATGTAAATTCTAGATGCATAATTCTGTTCCTTTAATGCCTGATCTTGGGAGTTCTTACTACTCCATTGCCTTTTTGCACCCAACATTAGTATTGAGAAGTCTGATATAAATTCTGTTTTCCCTTTTTATTTTTATTCATTTAAGTTTTAAGTTCTTGGGATTAAACTCAGGCCCTTTGCACTTAGCTGCATTCCCAGCCTGTTTTTCAGTTTGAGACCCGGTCTTGCTAAATTGCCCAGGATAGGCTTGACCTTGTAAACCTCCTGCCCCACCTCCCCAGAGCGCCAAGATTACAGGTCTGCACACTCTGCCACCTGCTATTCCTCCTTTATGGTGGAGCTTCCTTTGTATTTTTCTGGAAGGTTTTAAAGATTTTTCTTATAATCTATAATACTTTTAAATGTCCATACAATATATTTTGCTGTGAAATTTTAGTTACCCTGTTTTCCACTCCATATACCTTTTCAGTCTGAGGTTTGAATATTTTTATTTCTGGGAAATTTCTCTCCACCCAACTTTGTCTCGTTATGGTCAGATGTCAGACTCCTATTAGTTGGTTATACATCTTGATTCGAGCATTGTAAGGAGGTACCAGAATGTAGAAATTTAAAATATGCAATGCACGCCCTCAGGTTGTTTTTATTTTAGTGGTGTCCATGAGCAAGTAAGTAGGCATTTATAATGAAGTATGATAAATTCTGTGATAGCATGTGCCCACAGTATTATGGAAACATATGGGAAAAATTTATTACTTCATTCGTGGGGAAGAGAGAAGGTGTCTCAATTGAGACACAGTTTAGGTTGAGTTCTAAAAGGTGTTTGTTACATGATGAGGATTAGAGAAGTCTTCAGGGGAAAGGAACAATTAGACAGAGGGAGCAACTGTTCAGTGGTGAATGAAACCAGGTTAATAGTTTGTCATGGCTGCTGCCGTCACTTTCCGTGTGATGTAACTTTGGTAAGATAACAGAATAGGAAAACTGGGGTGAAGTAGATAGTCTATTGTAGACTTTAAGAAAGGGACTGACCTGAGCAAACATAAGTTTTAGAAGTTTTTCTTATGGGAAATACTTAAATGTGGGGCAAGGCAGGAGCCATTGGTAACCACTAAGAGGTTATTGTAATGATGTAGGTGAGAAAAGATGATGCCCTTTTCTAGCTGTGGAGATAGAAGTACAGTCATTAGATCAAACTGATAATTAAAGATGTCAGGTAGCTAAGACTGGGTTGATCACATTTGGGAGTGAGGAAAGGAACTGTGTCAAGAATGACACGTAGTATCTCCCTGGCCATTCAAGATACATATTTTCTAAATAGTTAACATTTAAAGAATCATTTGGAAACATAGCAAAGCAATAAACATTTTTTTTGTTTGTTTTAAAGAACAGTTTCTTATCCTCTCTTCTAAACTGAAGTAGCTCAGACAAGTGGGAGATTTTTTTTTCCTCAAATTTTTGACAAATTCGTTGACAGCAGTGATTACCCTAAAAGGAGGCTATTTTTATAGTTCTCATTTTTAGCACTTTGTGTGGACATTTAGAAATGTCTTTCAGAATAAAAATATGTATGATGGCGGCATGATGCTTCAGACCTACTGGCAGCTTTATGTGAAAAAATAAATATAAATAATCTTGCTAAACTCCAAAATATGCTAATGAATAATATTTCATCCAAAGAGTTCCAGATAATGAATTATGGACTTATACTTTAAATATGAGTATTTTTGTTCTTTTTATTTTGCAACATTGCTTTCTAGTAACAACCTTTATGTGGCTGTGTAACCAAGTATATGTGTATGATGCAGTACCAACTCTAAGAGTGAAAAATGAAGTTACAAGCCATAGTATATAATACGCTTCTGTCTGAGTCTAAAAACGCAGAAAAGAGGGAGACACACACAGGTACACACACACACACACACACACACACACTCATATAAACAAAGAATCAGTGACTGAGAACTGGGAGTCAGTAAAAAGATAAAAATTTACGTGTGTATGTGTACATGTATACATGTGCACAAATATATTCTGTTCAAATGTTTCACTATACATGTTATTCTTTTTTGTTTTAAAGTTTGAGTTACACAAGTAACTGAGAGTATCCTGTGAAAACTTGGGATTCAGTTGAATTCAGCCCCATTGAAAACATTAGTTTTATAATAAAATTTAAAATATTTACATAAATACTAGCCCCTTTTCATACTTTGTGATAATTTAGTCCTGTCAGTTTTCACTGTGACTGTGATAACATTAGGATCAGAGAGTTTCCCAGACCCTTACATTTCTAAACATTGACTATGTAGTTGTTAGGATTGTCAAAAGCAGGAGTTTAAGGAGAGAATGGTTAACATGAGTGCCAGTCAGTAGAAATGAAAATTTAACCTAATGGTCCAGGCTGAGTAGCGACAGCAAAGGTTGGAAGCCTTGAGGATAGCTTTTAAAACAGCAGAGCCTGAGGGGACTAAGATAGGGATATCTGGAAAGATAGTATAGCAGAACAAAGAAAATAGGGCTAAATACATTTTCAACAAAGAAGAACTAAGTGGTAGAAATAGAAAAGGAAGTTAGGGCTCCTCAAAGAAACAGACTTGGAGAAAATATTAAACATTATACATATAATGCTCATTGTTGGAGATTTTAGAATTACTTTCTTGCAGGTTGATAGATGTAATATCATAGTACAAAAAGATAAAGCTTAGTAGTTATGTTGAAACTAAAATATGATTAGATCAGTGTGAGGAAAGTCAAAATACATTTGTCACTAATAAATTTATGAATTGAAATCAGAAAAAAATCCAAGTATTTGCCACATGTCACAAAAAGTATATTTAAATTGTGTTTGGTTCTTGTACAGATACTGTGCTTTTAGTTCCATCAGCAGTTTCCTTTACAGCAGTAAGCAAGAAATTAAATATTTAGACTATGTCATGATTTTTGATGTTTGTGTTTTCTTTGGTGATATTTTGTTTCTTAATGTTAGAGCAGTCAGGTTCTGACTTGTCGTGACTACTAAGTTAGTAAAGTTAGTGTTGGGAAATAATTTGTGTAGATTTAGTGATTTAGTTGTGTACTCACATACATTCTTTATGTCATTTTCCTTTCATAAAATACGATAATTGATGGATATTTGACTTAGCAAATAAAGCAAAATGCCAATTTTATAATCTAGGTGGTTGACAGAATGTAGAAATTTGAATATTTTCATAATAAATGTTGAAAATAATTATAAGCTTTAATGAAGAAACTGTTAAATGAGAATATTACTATGTGACTAGTATAATATACTTGATATTCTTTTTCTCCATTGCCTTTGAAAAATCAGAAGCCTTTTTTATGTTAGTAGAAAGCAATTTTAAAGGTTGTGCTATTTGATATAAATAATTTGTTTCTTTCCTATGGAAATTGTTTTATGCTTTAAAACAGTATTATGACTATTAGTAAAGGTAGCTGAAACAATTGTAAGGGTTTATAAAAACATTTTTTGAAATAAACATAAATTAGAGCAGACAAGAGTTTAGCGACTATTTAGAACTTTTATTCTTCTGTTTTAGGGAAACTGGAAACATCAAAGCTGGATTAGAACATCTGGTAAGTTCTAATTTTCTCTTGAAGATTTGCATCATCTTTGATATCTGCATTCTAAATGAACACTTTTGAATGAGCTTTGAATACCTTGTATTGAGAAACTCAACCATTTCCCAAAGGGTCAGCTTACTGTTCTGTGTGAAGGCACTTGCACTTTCATTTATCTTATCATTCCAAGGGAATTTAAAATTTTTTAAAATTACCTTTTTTTCTGATGTAGAGATGAAATAAAATGAATGGCAATTCTTGAATTGATGGTTGCTTTAGTTGTGAGCAAAAATTGTTCATTGTAGAATTTTTGGCATGTCTTGTTCTGACAAAAACAAGCTTGAGTTTTAAAAAAACAATCAAATATTGCATGCATAAATATGGTATGTTTTAGCGATTTAACAGCATTGAAAGAAGTGCACAGCTTTGTTTTTCTTGATGTCTTTGCTTTATGAATAATGCATTGGTTTAAACTACATTCAATTTTTGAATGTAAAATAATTGCGATGCAGAATTTTTGGCTTAAGTAAACATTTTTAAACAAGTAAAACAAACTGATTTACCATTAAAATCTGTCCAGTGATCTAAAAATTTGAAAAATGGTAGTATGATTACTGGTCTGAAATTCACTGTACTGAGTGTTCACTACAACATTAAGTAGTTCATTTAAACAGAGCATTATAAAGTCATGCTCTGGTTTCTAGTCAAATCCAACTGTTGAATAATTAATGGGAGAGATTCTTTTGTAAATACAGTCTAAGTACTTTTTTAATGCAAGACTTCATTCATATATCATACTGTAGCTTTGTTAACTATTAATGTGCTTTTGTTCTGCTCAAAAACAAAACAGTAGCAAGAGGCAGCTTCATTTTGATTTGCAGAAATTTTAGAGTTGGAAGGAAATTTTGGCTTTTCTTCTGGTAGCTAAAGGAAATCAAGGAATCCTAGATCTTTAAAATTGTGCCTGAAATTTATATGTTGACTTTTTAAACAAAGGATATAATTACCTAGTTAAAAATTTAAACTATGTATTTGTCAGGATTAGAAATAAGTAAATAATATTATTATTGTCATCATTAGGAAGTATTTCCTGAAGCCATACTTACCACTTCCTTATGACACTAACATTTAGAACATAGGCATATTAGACTAAAAATGTTATTCTGCAACTTCACATTCCAGCATCAACTGGAAGCTTATAACGAGGAAAAACAGCTGCCATAATGCAAAATGGACTTTTATATTTCTCTTATAAATTATTTATTAAAAGACTTTGTTCATTTCCTCTGGAGATAATAATGAGTTTGATTTTTTTATGTCAGTGTTATATTTCTATACTTACGGTAGCATCTTACTTTTAGTAAGTATTTCACACACAATCTTATGTAGCAGTGGTTTTCTAAGTGCCAAAGGGTGATATTCCAAGACTCTCACTACCTAATTTAACCAACGCCATTCCACTTTTAGTTATCTTGTAAACTTTTGAACTTTTAAATAGGATTCTCTAGCTAAAAGTATTTTAAAACCTTTGATAAAGCATAACCACTTACTAACATCAGTGATAATAGTGTATTAATTATTTCCCTATTCTTAGTGCTAAATTATATTTCCTTTGTATCTGGATCATGCACATCAAATGTATTTCAAAACTAAGAATTTTAGGGATGAGAGAGCCAGAATTACCGTACAACTAGGAATTAGGAAGCAAATGATTTTAATGTATTTTATTTAAGTTGTTCAAAAGACTGCAACTTTATATTTTAATTGACCCACCATGAACTATTAATATAGCTGTCTGTCTACCTACACACACTGATAATACTGTAATTAATGATGTCCTTCATTACTTGTGTAAGAAGGTTTATGCTTGCAAGGAGGAGGTGGACTCACAATTTATGAGTTAGGCATTAATAAAATTTCTTCCATCTAACGTCTTTGGACTCCTGTGATTTTCCTCTCTTTCCCACTGAGCAGACATTTAGCGTTCTTGCATTCTGGCATGTGAAGCCCTTGTTTAAGTTGGCTATTTAACCAGATACAACTAGAAGTAGTAATTGTACTTGATTGAATTTAAAGATATATGATGTAAAATTAAAATGTGAGCATCCAGCACATTTGGAATTAATCTCTTCTTTATCTAGCCTTCTATAGCCCTTGTCTTTTCCATATTATTTATTTGGGTTATCATAGAGAATTGGTATTGTCTGAATGCTAAAAGAGAGTAAAAGCCAATATAAATTTTCAAAATATGACATGTAGCAGAGTTATACTTGCCACCAGGAAACATATAGTTGTTCTGTCTTCCTGTGTATGCTTATGGGTCCATGGGGATGTACATCTATGTGAACCTAGAAAAGAGAACACAGGTGTATGTTCCCTTGTAACCTCTTCATAGGCTGATTTTCTTAAGTTCTTTAAGTCTTTCGGGTCCTTCTTCAGCCTTTGTTTTCTCATTCCTTTCTGTGTTGCCAACTTTTCTGGGCATTGTCTAGCATGTCATTCTTCGCAGTACCCATTTTATTTTCTCTTTTTATGGAGGCTTATGTTTAAAACCAATAAAGCCTATATCTTTTTAAAGTTCTAGACAGAGTCTTTGAAGATTATTGCTTTATTTTGCATTGACAATTCTTGTCTGATAATTGCAAAATGGAGTGTTTCTAATTTTACTGCTACTTTATATTAGCAGCTAGTATTCCAGTGTAAAGAAGAGCCAACTATTTTTATTTTATGAATCTTTTTATTATGATCAAGGACCCATGGGATTTTATTTTATTAAGTAGTTTCAGAATTGTCATGAGTACATATAAAGAGAAATCCTTACAAAAAAGGGTTCAAGATTTATTTGCAGTCCACCTCCGCACACAATTGAGTGCACTTATGTTACTCATTTGAAATGTGATTACACTTGTTTTTCTTTACATTAGTTTAAGTAGCTTTGTTGCCGTTCTTGCTGATCTAATATATCTTTGAATATGTATGATATTAACGTGTTTCCCTGTGTCAAAATTGTACACAGTGGTATTCTCAGAAAGGTGTGTCATTCTCTACCTTTCTGGTCTGTTCTCATCTACTCCCATAGGTAGTCAGTTTTTCTGAATTCTTTATTATTCCTGGGCTTCTAAAAAAATTGTATGTACCTGCGTATGTGTAATTCTGTTTCCTCTTTTTTAGGAAAAGTATCATATTCTCCAAATCCTTTTTTGTACTTAGCTTGTTGCTGTTGTGCGTTTTTTTTTTTTTTTTTTTTTTTTTTTTTTTGCTTAGCAATACATCCTAGAAATCACTTTATAATCATTATGTGTATCATTATCTTTATTGTATCTTTTTCTTATTTGATTTTTTTTTCTTTAGTAAAGTTCATAGATTGTAGCAGAAGACATGGTATTCCTGGGTCAGAAATAAAGCATGTTATTACTAACAGTTCAACGGTAGCCTGTGTTCATGTTTTTATAGATTTCTCTTGACCCTCACATCCTATGGAGTTATTTTTCATACTCAGTGTGTTTATGTGATAGCTAAGGAACTCCAAGAATAGTTCTTTAAACGACTGCCTTAACACCTGCCCAAAGTTTGCCTGAGAGAAAGATGTCTTTGTTATCTTGGTCAAGTAACAGAACTGCTTACCAGGAGGAACTTCAGTGTTTATCCATCTTTCATAAATCCAAAGCTTTGCACATGCTAACTGCATGTTAAGCACACCTGCTATCACTGAGCTACACTCCCAGCCCCAGGAAAACACTTTTGAGTAAACATTGGATCCTAAGGAATCATACTGTGGTCCTGCAGTATTACTAGTGGTAGAATCAGCATCAGCAGAACTAAACATAAAATGTCTCAGAGTGACCTGCCCAAATTATCCTTAAAAGAAAAAAATGAATGAAACTAGTTTGATTGCTTAGATTTTATGATGAATTTAAGGAAATAATTTCATTTGAAAAAGAATCATATAGATAACAGACCTTCTAACAGTAACCCTAAAGTTTTGTCTTTCGACACAGAAGAGTTAACTGACTGTTAATTCTTGTTATGTCAGAGGTTTTTGTGCTTTGTTTTTTTCTAACATTTTACATTTTAAAATTCTACATAATGTAATAAATAGTAGACTTTATTGAGTACTGAATGTGAATTAAAATATTTAATTTCTGGTTTTTAATGCACTCCAACGTGATTACTGACATAAACACACATTTTTGTTTCTACTATTAAGTAAAAGTTTAGGAAATAGAGTCTTACCATTTGATTATAACATAGCTATTACTATTTTATAAGTAAACTATACAAATAATGCTATTTTTTTTTTATTGGTAGAATGATTGAGATCAGAAAATATTGGCCTAAACTATAAGGAAAATTGTCACCCATTCAGGACAGATACTGTCGTGGATTGACTTGAAAGAAGGCCTGCTGCATTACGCCCCCTTTGGTAGAGAAGGCAGTGACATCCCAAATAAGTATGATGTTTGTAAAGCTTCTCTTGCTGTCTCTTTGGAAGAGTCAGATAAGTAGAAGTGGGTTGAAGTGTGCAATCACAGTCACCTAGGTCAGCGCTCCACCATCTTGTGTGAGCATGTAAGATAGCTGAGACTCTGTTTCCATGCAGACTCTGATTCTCAGGGTGTGGAGAGAGTCGTGAAATTATGAATTATGTGAAGCTAGTAGTACTGGGCCAGGGACTGCCAGAAAGAAAACAAATTAAAAGACACTGACTTTAAAGACCTATATCCAGTGAAGAAGTCTTCTGACTCTGGTGAAGCATCTAGATGTTATCCTTACATTCACTCAGTGTGACTTTGCAGTCTCTGATTGATTGGTTAGAAGTTCATACACCTAGAGAGACGGGCATTCCACAGATTCATAGAAGGACAAAATTCCTAATCAACAAGGATAAGAAGAGGGACTTTTCCCCCCTTTATTTTAATCCAGGTATTAAATTGTATTTTTGAGGACTAGGACTGCATATTAGAACTAATAATACCTTGTTCAACTGTAGGTGTACAATTTAGTAAATAATAGTA